TTTAAAGTTGGATATTTCATTTTTACCAACATCTAATGTACATACATACACAGATTTTCATATAACTAGTATTAAATACCACAGGTGTGATTTAAAATTTTTGTAATTAAAAAAAAAAAAAAAAAAATTAAATACTATCTTCTATAAAATATTTAAGAATATCATCTAACAAATATAAAAACTATGCATACAATTTAGTACTAAATCTTGCTTATATAATTATGTATAATGATCTACTATCCTATATTGCATATTCACATGATTAATCTACTGATCAAATTGCATATGTCTATTAAAATTTTTTTACTCATATGATTTTTGTAGATATGCTACCTTTAAAAAATTTGTATCAGTAATCTTAACCCTTAAATTTTAAAGCTAAAGTGATTAAATTTGTGATATTTCACAATAAGTGAATTACAGTCTTTCTCCTCTATAATTACCTCCTATATAATCACAACTCCTATGCAATCACATTAAATTTTGAGATGATTTATTAATAAACTTATAAAAAAATACTTTTATATAATCACACTCTTTTATAATCACTAATTTTCTTGATACAAACTGCATGATTATAGAGGAGAAAGACTGTATATAACTATCATAAAGAGTCTTCACAATTAAACAATTAAGTAAATTATGTAACTATTATAAAAGTTTTCTTGATATATTAAAAGTGCCAAAAAATTAATAGCCAAAATCTAATATTTATAGTCTTAGTCTATAACCTACTACAAATATTATTATCGAATAATGCATAATTAAAAATCTGGTTTTAAATATTAACTCATATGTCTGTATATTATCTACATTTATTAAATAAGATATTGGCTTATTTAATTATATTAATCAATTATATTTTTAACATCTAACACTAACTGTTACAGATTATCATGAAATTAGATTATCATAAAATTTGTAGATCTTGATTTGAAAATATAAGCTCTACCAAAATCTACCTATACTCTTTTATTAATAATTCTAATCCTAAATCCTAATTTAACTATAAAAAAAAGTCTACAAAAAAGGCCCTAAAAATTTTTAAAAATCATACATAAATTAGATCCAAATTTCATGATAATCTGATTTCACGATAATTTGTGATACTAACTAATTTGTAAATATGAATAATATAGTTATCAAATATTGTTTCTATAATAACTTTAAAAGTAGAGTGAAGTGATCTATATTTTAATAATAATCATGTTACTAATTTTTTTACAATAATATTCAATTAAAATCAGATGATGATCATATATTATTTATATTGTATTATTTAGACAAATCACCTAGGTAGTACAATATAAATAACATATTGTTATCAACTAATTTTAATTGAATATTATTGTAAAAAAATTTAGTAATATGATTACTATTGAAATGTAGATCACTTCATCCTATCCTTAAAACAGATAATACAATACATATTTTATTAAAGTCAATATAAATAAATTTAAATAATTAATAATTTTGATTATATAAGTCACTTACAAAAAAAGCTTAAGATATTTATTTGCACTACTTTTTATATGATAATATTTTATTTGAAAAAGTTAAACAAGCAATTCTATATTAGATGTAATTATATCTTTTATTTTAGCTTATGCAGCAACAATAATGCTAACTAAAGTTATATTTAGATTATATATATAAAGAATATATAAATATAGCTACAAATTTGTTAATAATATAGCTTATTAAATTAAACTACAACTAATTATATGTTTTCTTTGTTTGGACAATATATATATATGACTATATTCTTAACAAATATTGTATAGTGCAATACAACTTCTTGAATTATATCCACCTGATTATAGTTTTAATATATTTAATTTTTATTTAAATTTTTGATAGCTTTATAGAAAGCTCTAAAATTTTCTTTTATAGTTACTATAACCTCTTACAAGATCTTTTATAAGTATTAGCTTTAAAGAGATTTTCAATTGTTTGACTATTTGCATTATTTGTTAAAATCATATTAGATTTCTTAATTTGATATATTAAACTATATAATATTGCTATAATATGTGTTATATTAAAATCAGCTACTAGTGATACTAATATTTGTTCTAATGCTATGTACTCTCCAAAAATTTGTTACTTTGTAATTGCTGAATTAATTTTTAAGTCTTTATTTAAATCATCTTGTCTCAAATTGCAAATTTAACCTATAGGTACTTGTAATTTAGAAAAATTAACAATTGCTATATTATTAATTTTATTTGATATTTCAGAATGTGAAAATAAAGCATTAATATCATCTAAACTAGTACTTTTTTTGTACTAATAACTTTTTATTTGCGAAGCAAAAAATACAATATTATTTGACTTTAACATGATTTGAAAAAAATATTAGCAGATAATCCTTTCACTTAATATAATTTGTTGAAGTCAGATTTATTAATATATGTCAAACTTCCCAAACTTCTATAAGATTAATATATTTAATAACAGATTTAAGTGCAACTTGAAATGTATCTAGAATATTTTCGAGACAGATAAAAAAATTGTTTGTATCAAGCTATTAAAAAAAAATATTAATACTTTGTATTCATAAATTAATCAATATTTAATATAAATTTTACTCTATCATACAATAAATACAAATTAGAAGAAACAATTAATAAATAATAATCAAAGCAAATATCAATCTAGGTCTTCTAAATTTCAAATATTCTATCAGTCAAACTGATTTTAATAACTTGACTAATTTTAGAAAGACTTGTTTTGCTGATAAAGATATAATATTAAAAGGTAAGTTATCTAAGTAGTTATAGTATTAAGATTTTTGTAATTCAGAGGCTAATATATCTTGTATACTATTGAAAAATTCTATTAATATTATATAAGAGTTAAAATATTGATAAATAATTGTATTAATTAATTTTACACATTGGGTAGATAATATTTTAGTATTAAACTTTTAAATATATAGTAACAAAAAATAATATAATATATTAACTTTGTAGTAATAATATGTAATAACAATAATATATTATTTTAATATAGTTATATTGTAAATACCTAATTATTTACCTGAAAAGTAAAGTATTTTGCTTACTGGATTTTAATTAAATATAGAGTACTTTTTAAATATAGCACTGCTTTAGAATATTTTATACAAAATAACTCAAATTGTAATTTAAAAATTTCTTGAAATAGTATATTATGACAAAAAAATTTATTCTAAAATTCAACAAATTAAGATCTAAAAGAATATATTAGATTCTTTTAATATTTTGTATAATATGAAAAATATAATATAAGTATCATATATTTGGAAAAACAGTTTCGATTGCTGGTTCTAGTCCAGTATCACAATCTGAATAGATTGTAATTAGTGCTATATTATTTGTCACCTTAAAAAGATTGTTAAGAACCCACATATATAAAGTTGTTGTCATATCAGATATTAGTACCTGTGCTATTACTCTTAAATACCAAGATTTATCAACTCCTATAAACAAACATAAAGATAGCCAATACTTATTGTTCATGCTATATTATTAGTTAAAATAATATTGTGATACTTAAAATAAATGTTTTGTTGAAGAGGTATCATTCAAAACACATAATAAAATCAATTTTTAACACAATGTTCAGCTATAAACCATATAGAATCATTATCTTTTATTTTTTATAAAGTTTGAAGTAAGTGTGTGATGATTTAGTAAAGTGGTAAAGTTATTATACTCCCAAGCAGTTAAGTACAAATTCAATTCTTATTGAAGATGAAAATTAAATTTTGAAAAATGGATTTGATAACTATTGTTGTAGCTAGAAAAACTTGAGACCCTGTAACTGTGGTCATACCAATTTATCAGAACTGGGAGATCTCAGGCATATGTGTGATATATGAGTTACATGAATAGATTTTCAGATCACAGAAAGCCACAGGACTGATATGACAATAAAGCACTCACTTGGCAAATTCTGAATAGAAAGGTAGTACAGATCTTTGATAGTACTACGTAAAAGATCATTATCAGAAGAATTGGCAAAACTAAACAAGACCAAAGTGTTTGGCAAGGCACTCCACCAACCAGGCTATTAGAGAAGTAACAAGAGGAAAAGAACCTAACCATAGGGACCAAAAATAAGCTATAGCCCTTCTGGACTATCTGGATTGGTAGTTTGAGATAGTTGAGAATACTGTAAATAGTCTATAATATGTGTACTGGAGTTTGAGTAAACTCTATAAGGGCAGAAGTAGATTGTGTAGTGGCGACCAGGCAATAGTACTCAATATAGCAACTGGGCACAAGTGGTGGGTCTTAGTTCGTATACATCAACTGAAGACTAGATCAGCTGGATTGTAAGTACGAAAGGCTCTAGCAGGTTTGCCTTAAGGATAAAAGGCTCTTGGGGGTAAAGAGCCTGTCTTAAAGTCCTAATTCAGTATCTAAAACTAAGGGTTTTTGTATTGAATTCTTGCTTAGTTAATAGAGTAACTACATAGGTGTAGAGGGTTTAAATAGATAACTCTCTAGTTAGATTATAGATATGATATCTAGTGTAGAACTTAGTAATAAGCAGACTACTTAATTAGACAACCAAAAGTTGTATGTATGACTAGTTGTACTTTTCAAATATATATATAATATAAAAATCATACTGTAAAAATTATAACTATAACTGAATAAAGGAATGTGACAGAGAGGTCACCTTAACATCGCAAAAAAAAAAATAAAGTTTGAAGTAAATTTGATGTGTCATTTTCAGGATCCTGTTTAGAATTTATTATATCACTTTTTCAAAAATGTTGAATTGCATTAGCCAAGTTTTTGTCCAAGAATAGTTGATCTTTGAATTTATTTTGCAAAAGTTATCTTAATATCTATTGATCAATGCTATGAATCGCCCCAATATAAATTCAATTTTGTTTATAATGTTTTAAGGAAATTGTCTATAAACATTTGCAAAAACTACTGTATCAGGATTAAGCACATGACATAATGTATAAAGTTCAATTTTGTAATAACAGGGTCCAGGGAATTTAAAGGCCAACAAATATTAACAAAACAAGTATATTCTGTTTTAACAGATTTTTAATTATATCTCTGGAAAGGATCTGTTGTTTTTTGTTTGGGTTAAAATTTTTCTGCATATTGATATTTAAATATATATTTGTATATACCTCCATTAGCATAGCGGGCTTTATTATGATTGGTTGATTTTGAAGATCATCTCATCATATTAAAGTCTTATTAAAGTAATGATTTGCTGTTACAAGAATGGATCGGGTGCCACGAATACGAATCGGGTGAAGGTAAGACAAAAAAATTCGAAAGTTCAAGCCTTACTTTGTATACCGTCAAAGTAATTCGGTAAACCGTGAGGTAATTCGGAAGTTAGATGAGAGGTATGTCTAGACGATTCAATTTAACCAATATAACTTACAGTATATTAAACT